CCCCCCGCCCTCCAGGGGGCGCCAAAAGCCCGCCCGTACCTGCGTCCCGCCTCCAGCTCGGCGCAGAGACCCGGCTCCAGCTGCAGCAGGCAGCACTCGCCGGCGCCGGCCTGCGGACCGAAACTGAGGCAGTGCGCGACCGGCAACAGTTCCGCCGGGTTCAATTTCGCCGTCCGTAACGTAGCGTCTACCTCCGCCCGGCTCCGCATGGCGCCCGACGGCTCGAGCCTCTTCCGAAAAGCCGCGCCGCACCAGTCCCCGCCCACGCCGAGGGGCGGGGCGGCGGGCGGTGAGGCGGGCGCCGGCCGGGTGGATTCGATGGTTGCTCGCTCTGCGGCCGGCCGTGGTCGGCGGGGCGGGCGGCAGCAGTCCGGGTTTACGCTGAGGGGAATCGCTCTCCTCAGGCGCAGCCGGTTCCCGCCCGGCGAGGCCCGGCCCCGCTCAGCTCGCAGGGGTGCCGCTCCTACAGCGGGTCTGATCCCGATTTCTGTCCTGCTGCACTAGAGCCGGGCTGGGCTGCAAGAAAATACCTCTACGTGCCAATAAAATGCCATAAAAATCCACAAAATGACCTAAATAAAATATATCTGTAAAATACAACAAAAAGAGGCCCAGTATGGGAGCCCCTGCCCAGCTCTGACTGAGGCAGCACCCTCTAGGTGTTTCCTTGAGACCAGAGTGTGAGAGCAAGGGTGGAGAGAGAGAGGCCGACCCTCCGAGCCGCCATTACGGGGCCTGGCTGTGGCTGGGAAGACACAGGGTGAGGCAGCTGCAGGTGGGCACCCACTGGCATCACCCACCCTGTCAGGACAGCTGTGGGGACAGTCTGACCGATGGCAAGTATCTGCTGGCTCTCGTCTCCTTGTGATCCCTTAGGAAAGGGATTGCACAGGCCCCTTCGTCTCTCCGTGGCTCAGGGCCCAGCTGGGCTTCGCGCTGTGGCCTGACCCGGGGCCTGTCTGCTTGAGGAAGCTGTGAGGAAGTGCTTGAGCTAAAGCCATGACAGAGATGAGTAAAAACCACAGGCAAGCACAATTACTGCAATGGAAAATAGTCCGCAGCTCAGAGGTTCAAGAGGAAGTCTATTGACATCGTTTAACCATAAGAAAAAAACCAAAGCGGAGGCTCAGAAGACAGTGGCTCAGCACCGCTGAGAGTCAGTCCTCTGCAAGGAGCAGCACAGGATGCCTCTTCCCTGCCTCATCCAGGATGGCCAGCTTTCCAAACGCTGAGTTCTTGCTGCAGGGCATATTAACACTTGGCCTAGTAGCGTGTTAGTCCTAGCTGTCTGCTGTGTGCATTAGCTAACAAATAATTACTTTGTACTCCTAAGTTGTGTATATCTGCTTTCAGAGTTCCTCTGTGCTTGGTATAAGCCTGCATGAAAGGACACACACAAGGAGGTAGTACCACATTCGTGTTGGAACCAGAAGCAGGAGCCAGTGGGATGGAGCTGGCTTGGTTCAGTGCTCAGCCCAGCAGAGAGCAACTGTTGTCACATGTGACTGAGTCAGGCATCTTCTGCCTTCAGGAGGTCCTTTGCCTGAGTGGTACCAGCAAGGCAATTGGCCTTGGAGAAAACTTCAACTGAAGTAGTGAGGCAGTTACCTCTATCACATGTGCAGTGGCTTGTTCAAAGACTCAGCCATCTATCGTATTTTCATGTTTTATTTCAGTTACTGAAAGGTGGAAATACAGTCACTGTGCACACAGGAAACCTGAGGCACTCTGACTAGTTTCTACTAATGTGTAGGTGCAAACCGTTATGAGTACAGTCTTATCCAAGACTGTTACATTTGGCTTTAATGTAAATCTGTTCCTGCACACCTCTAAGGTAAACCAGAAAATCACTGTTCTATCAAGTAAATGCTCACACAGTTTTTAACTGTTTAAATAGCAGCTTAATTATGCTGGTTTTAATTTATACCTTACTTTGTGCAATTTCCCAGTGACCTCGCATGCCTGCTTCTTCTCCTTTCTCCTTTTCATTCTGTGGAATAAGAAAAGGAGACTCTGATATAGCCAAGGAACTTAATCCAGTGCATGAATTCATGGAGTTTGTATCTTAAGAGCTCTGCTACATAACAAAAACCCAATGCAAAAAAAACAAAACAACAACAACTGAATGTTATTCAGGAGTTGACACTGATCTGTGGTCAGAAACATTTGTACTAGTTATTAATTTTTCCAACCAGTTTTGTTTATCCTAGTAGTTGTGGTTGTAGATGCTTTTCATCTTGTTTCCTAAGGAGCTGAAACGTATATGCTTGTGCTGCCTGCCATCTTTCTCTGCCTGTCCCTCACTTACCACACTGGAAGTTGCTGTTCAAGTTCAGGCAGATTTGGCAGGTAAAGTTCCTAGAAGTTTTGTGGAAATCAGTGGCTGGGCAATATATTGGAGCCCCTACTTAGGGGGAAAGCAGATCTGATCCATTCTGAGAGGCAGCAGGCAACTGGCCTATCAGCAAAAATGTGGACATAAATCTATAGGAAACATGGCTCATTTCTCAGGAAACAACTTGCGTTATGCTTCAGTTTTCACTGGGAATGCTTCAGAGCAGTGACCTAACTGACAGAAACTGGTTTGTGTAGGAACTCATGAAATTGGTTTCTTGAAACACAGATGAATCATTTAATGAATTTGAATTGCAGAGAAAATAAGGAGATGCTGAACTATCAATGTTGCTGTCAGTATATAAGGAAATGCATACTATGGCAAGGGAGCTTGGCAGAATCCTGAAGTCCTTTTATAATGACACTGTGGGATTATTTATTTGCTCTGGAGTTGCTGTAGCAAAAATGAGTACTGTTTTCACTTTGAGCTGGTGTGGTGGGCTGAAACTGTCAGGGTTCAGGAGCATGTAGCATTATGGTACAAGCAGGGGTGAAACTCTCCTGTAGCAGAATGGAGGAAAGAGTTGAGGAAGCAATTAATTCAGCCATCCCAACTTAACTGATCACCAACTGAAGTCAGGCCCCCAAGGTGCACATCTGATGCTTTCAGTGACTGCTGTGAGTGTACAGCTGAGAGATACACCTCTCATAAGAGAGAGGTAGCCTGAACCACTAAATAGCCTGCATCCTCAGCTGGGGTGGGGAGGGGAGGCAGGAATGAAGTCAAGTCTCAAGCAAGATAAGCTTTGGTGTAGTTTTTCAGTTGACTAAAGTTAGTGGAAATTAGTGTTAACGCAATCTGGTTCACTAACATTGAGTGAAGTTAGCAAAACAGAAAGTGGATTGTTGAAGATTATTATAGTCTTGCTTTTGAAGTTCCTGGCCCTGTATAATGTTTCCCAGGACTCAAACATCAAGGATGTGAACAGCAAAATAAATGAAGGGCAGCTGTGACAAATCAAAGAAAGGAAGTTCAAATAACTCCAAAGGTCCACAACCAAGGCATAAAACAATGAACCACAAGATAACATAACATGTTGTAACAGTGCACATTACCAGTGTCAGGCTGTAGTTATCAGGCAGCACATTAGGAGGATGACTTCCTAGGTGTGATTTCAAGTGCTTGGGAGCTCTACAGTAAAATGTAGTGAGAGAACTGGGCTACATAAAATGGGGTGTTTAAATGTCAAATAAAGATGTACACTCTAGAAACTTCTGAATGTCCTTCAAACCACAACATAGGTAGCTGTGAAAATAAAAAGATAATAAAGCCAGCACTGGAAAAACTGACACAGCACCGAAGTTGAATACTGTAACATGCTATCAGCCTGGTGATAATTACACAATTCATATTTACAGTTCTTGGAGATTATTCCACAAGAGAGGCTAAGTTTGATTAAAGCCTCACAAAACTTAGTTCAAGGATTTATCTTTTCAGCTGAAATGCCATCTGCAATATTTAAAATTAGCACGTATGTTACATTTTCACCATTAAATGACAATTCCTCATTGTCTAGAAATACCTGTCAGTGGACATGCCCATTGTGCTTCAACACAGAAGGTGATCATGGCAGCTGGACCTGTAGGTGTGACTGGAGTTAGAGCACAAGAGCTCTGAATACTGTTTCAGCATGTCGCAGACTCCTGTGATGAGACACTGGGAGAATAACTGTTTACAGTGAATGTGCTACATTTCCTTCCTAGGAAAACAAGAAAGAGAAACACCCCCCCCCAACAGAAAATATAATTATGCCATTGTATAAATCTATGCTGCACACATATCTTGAATAATGGTTGTCTAGTCTGTCTCAAAAGTAAGAGCTAGGGAATACTGCTAAAATGAACAGAAAGTAAGTTATGGATAACAGGAGAGAAGACCTTTCTGTGCAACACATTGTGGATCTCGTGATATGTGGTAGATGTCAAAATGAGTGCGATCCACAAAAGAGTTAGACAAATTCATATAAAGGTTAGATGTGCTTGTCTCTGTTAATCACAATGTTTAGGTTTTAATCATAGCTCAGGACCCTAAATAAACTCAGACCCCCTAAATGACCAGAGCATATGATTTTCTTCTCTCTAGTTGGTTATTGAGTTAGACATGTTTTTACTTTTTTTTTTAACCTTTTTTTTTTTTTAATGAATAGCTGAAATAGCAAAGCAGTGGCTTGCATATTCTATGTTCCAGGCATTGATTAATTTGCATTATCATGTCCCAGTAAAACTGTCATACCTGATGATGTCAGCCAGCAAGCACCACAAAGCAGGACATGATGAGTCCAAGACCCAAACAGGGAAAATTCCAGCCATTTAGTAGAAAGAATAACCAGATAGCTCATTGCTACCTCAGATAACTGCTGTCTTGTCACTTATAATAGGCCAACAGGGAGATGCAAAACAGTTATATTCAGATTAGGAGAAAATAAACAGTTGTAACCAAACCTAAATATTTGTAAACTCTACAATAGCTTGGAGTATCTCAGTGACATAAAATTGGTTCTGTGCTGGAAACAGTGGAGAAGAAACACTCAAGCACAAAGCTGGAGAGCACATGCTGAAATAGCCAGGGCACAAACACCATCAACACAGTTAAGAAACCACTTTGAGAATTTCACAGTACACAGTTGTAACAAACAAAAACTCAGATGCCCAATGCTGATGAGACAACTACTGCTAGATACCTGTTCCATTGTTATGTCATTTCTCTGCAAGGCCAGCATGTGTAATTGCAAACAAAGCCAGAGGATCAGTCATGCCACACTGCTGTCATTTATGATGAGGAGGGGTAAAACTTGAACAAGCTGGTACCCAGCCTACA